CGTTTGTAAGACTGACTAACGGCCTTTGGCGAGCGTAGCACCAATTGCCTCCAGACGGGGAGTGAATGCATCTATCCAACTCCCGAGCAGACGCTGCCATCCAATGAGTCCTCACCTTCACCTTCATCCAGCAGCAGCGCCGCAGGTCCCAGTACCGAACTTGAGGCCTTTGGCAACTCCCAGATGACTCTGGCTGAGCCTCCAGCGCCAGGTCTCATCAATATCCTCAACAACTATGTTGGGGGCTCTTTCGACGCCCTCCCGGAGCCGTCAAAACGCCTCCTGCAGCACTGTAAGCTGCCTGCACGAGGAGGATTTCGGCATAATGTTGACTAACGTGCTTAATCAGTTTCGCAATACACAGTATGGGGCCAGCGACCCGTAGCCAGGGAACTGGAATCCTCGGCGTGCGGTGACCCGAATCCCCGGGACCTTCATGGTTCGGCCGATACAATGAGCTGACAGCCGTCTAGGATCCAAAAGTCGTTCGAAAATCCGGGGTACATGCACATGTGTCTGATGCTGTCGGCCTGCCAATGGGCCTGGGTTACGGGGTCCATGGACGAGGTCAGGATCCCGTTCCTGTACCACAAAGCCGCCACCTACCAGTTCGCGAGAGAACAACTCCAGAAACCAGACACTGCGCAGAGCGGAGACACCATGTTGGCGATTTCTGCGCTCGCACTAACTGAGGTAGGACATTTCGGATGCAGTGTCGGACGCAGTGTCGGAACGTATGAGACTGACATTGATCCAGGGCGCCATTGGAGAGCTGGATGCCTCGTCAAGACACCTCAAGGGTATCCGGTCAGCAGTCGAGCAATGGAATCGAGACGCTGACCAAGTCCCGACGTTGCCCCAAAGGATGCTCAAGATGTCGGTTTGCCAGATTGTACTCTGATTTCCGCCTTTGCTGATGCTGATGTATAGGGTCGGTGACGGCTTGCGAACCGGAAAGTCGGGCCAGCTCGTCAACGTACCGGAATATCAACCAACCTTTATGGCACTCCTGTTTGCCTCCATCTGGGACATTACAGCGTTGCCGCCTCGCGAGGCACCGAGATATGGCTGGTGGGAAGATACCGACTCACGAGCAGCAAGGCTGTGGCAGAATCACACCAAGGACCTCAACCTCAACTACGAGATATCGAGAGGGTTCAATCCGACCCAATACGTACCGCGAATCCTTAACGGAGACCCCAAGAGTAGCCGGACGAGCTTCATCGCCACCTTCTTCTACCTGTGCTCCGAATTGGGCCACAAGTACTTTGACGTGACTCTGATCGACTGGCTTCTAGAGCAACTGATCGATGACGTTAACGCAGGCGAGGCGCACCTCAAGACGAGCGTGTGGACACAGGCGCTGTGGCTGTGGTGCGTCATGTTTGGGGCCGCCATCGCCTCAACAGGGCGAGCGAGCAACATGGTTGAGGAGAGACAGCTGGCCAAGTGGCGAGGAGTCTACAGTGACAAGATGAAGCTGTTCAGCCGCGAGCTAGGCATCAACAGCTGGCAAGCGGCCAAGGCGATGCTGGCCGGGGTGCTTGGGAGAATAGAGGGGGAGATTGAGAGGGGACTGGAGGAACTATGGAATGAGGGGATCGCGGGAGGTGTGACTGGTGAAAGCAGTGCGAGTCCAGCCGTGATAGAGCTCGACTCGGACTAGGACGTGCATTGTGAAGTGCTGGAGGCGTGGAATCATTTAGTAGGACTGATTCAGAAGGATTCGTCATTCTGGAGCCACGGCGGAGCATCTTGTTGAGTGCTCACTCGAGCAATCATGATTGTAAGGCGAGCGGTTGGCCCATTGCACCTGGGGCTGACAAATGGTTGAGGGTGGGAGTTCCGAAATTAGATCTTTTGGACCTATACATAGTGTATGTAGAAGAGAGTCGACGCAGAGATTTGTTGTATGTACTGTATTGATATCAATAGAGAGCCGCACTTGGCCACGCGTCGTTAGACGGCATGTTTCCGCATTTGTTGGTGGGCTTCCATGCTGGCTTCCATGGAAGGGCTGGAAATGGATCGTTGGTGGAGCGGGTTGTCCCGTGTCATCACGTGGGGCGAGACCTTCCTCAGTTGGCAGGACCCCTAATGCTTTCCTTCCGTCGTCAAGTGGAATCAGTGCCTGGCCCATTGCATTGCCTTGGAAAGCAAACTCAAAACTGAGGTGGGCAATAAAAAACTAACAACACATCAACACCAGCAGGCATCAGCCTGTCTGTGAACGACAGAGTTTTTCGTCTTCCGTAGCACAGCGTTGGATTGCAACGTTGGCACCGTTGGATTGCCCTGTCTTGGCACAGTCACCAACACGATACTCAGCCTGCGACAGCGAGCGACGCGAGCGACTATGGCCTGTCTGGGGTCTCTTGTCTCCTCGTTGTTGTTATCGCACCTTGTTCTCTCTGATTCTGGAAGCGCTTTTCACCCACCTTGACCGCCGCTGTTTGTCATAGGCTGCTTTCTCGGCGAATCGCTGGCCCTTTCTGTAGCCCTCTGTTTGCATCTTTCTGAGGTACGTCCAGTCTCGTAACGAAGGGCCTGCTCGTGGCCGACCAAGACCTACCCCGCCCAGCACGGCCTGCGTTGTGAGCAATCAGAGCACCGGGATACACAACCCGGGTGACGGGAGACAAACTCGGTGTGCCGCTGGTTGCATGCTGGTTCGCAGGACGCAGTCTGGTTGGTGATGGTTTCTTCTTCTGATCCACCCGCGCTGACCTGGCCGACCTGGCCGGAGGAGATAGGGGCATGAAGGGGGTGGTCTCTTCTGCGGCGGGCCGGCCGGAGAGGGGACGACATCGTCAGCGTCGTTTGACTCGTAACAGTGGTGTTTTGGTTGAGAAGATCGTCAGGACCAAGTTTTAGAGGTCCAATACCAGGACTGCCCTCGCAGACTAATATTCTCGAAAAGCGCTTGGACTCGAACTTCATGAGGATCGACGCTGATAATGCAAACTCTACTCTCAGGACGGGATGACGACTTGCGCGCAATCTCGGTGCCAGCCTCTGCCTTTCCCGTTGGTCCCGCCCTTTCCTCGCATCTTGTCACTGCTCACCCTCGTCCAGCTCCCTTTTGCGCTCACCACCTGCAGTGATGCGTTGTCCGACAACCATCATCCCTCCCTTTCACTAGTTGACGCCAAGTGATAGGACGCGCCCCGGGCCTGCTCTCCACCAGGCCCCTCACCAAATCAGGGAAGTTGAGCCAGTCGCTGTCGTTTTGGCCCATACCTGGACGTATATCCCTGCAATAATCCAACACACCGGTCTCTTTGCTCTGAAATCACAAACGCCAACTCATCCATGCGGCCATCCTATGCGGCAGTTTCATTGGCATCCATCGCTTGCTGTGGAACCTGGCTCCGGCAAGTCGTCAGGCCTCGACAATGATAAAACCCGCAGGGTCCCTCGTTGCCCAACGTCTCACTTCTACTTCCTCAATTTTCCAGCCCAACTCTCGCCTCTTACTGCCCAACAATCCTCGCTTCGGCCTGATCCTTCAAAGACGACCCATCCTTTACTACTCCTCTTTCTAACCCTCTTCTACCATATCTGTCTACGCTTGCTTGCCATTCCGTCAGGAAACACCAAAGCAACCCAACCCAATCAGCCCAAGGATCATCCTGTCGCACAACAACACCAACTTGACGACAGTTTTGCCACTGGTCTGAACTTGCAAGACAACGTCCCGCGTTGCTCTGCTGGATCACTAGAGTTCAATTAGCTCTACCCCGAGGATACCATGACTGTTACTCTCTGTGTGACCACGGCAACCATGCCCGGTTTCAAGAACTCGACTGACCTCGATGAGGTTCACTCGCTGTCCAGGTACTGTTTTCTTTACTCTTCCCTGGGAGGTCTGCATTTGCTTTTGAAGTCATGTTGCGCGAAACAATGTATCAATCATCTTGCTTCTTCACTCTGTCTTCCACCAAAGGATATCGCTCCCGGACAACAAACACTTCAAGCTCTCGCCCCAAGGGATTTCTTCACATGGATCAAATGGCCCATTTCTCCTAGGATTGCCGACACCCATTGCCAGGATCTTTCACATGGACTTGTCCAGCCGGACATGAAACAATGATATTTTCACTCTGGCTTTATGCCACCGAACGGTGAGTATTGCCCGTTGATGTACATTGAATCGCAGCTTTTCCCATGGATCAAGTCCGGACCTCTTTTCCTCGTTTTGCCTCAGGACACTGCTGGTTTCATGGATTCGACCCAAGGACATGGATACTCTTGAACTCGGGACTAGATCGGGACATGGCAACAACAAGGAGACAATCGACCGCATGGATACCCCAAGCTGGATGTCGCACACTGGATCAACATCTCACCCTCACTGGAAGGTCGCTCTAGGAATCAAGGTAGCATTCAGGCTTAACAGCCATGAATCTGACAATCCAATTTGATTGTTTTGTGCGTCCGCACGCTTTGTCTCTGGAACGCCTCTTTGACCTTTCGCTGGCTTTTATCCCCTGGTTTCAATGGATGACAAGGACTCTTTGCTTTACACTCGACTCTGGAACCCATACTCGACACTGCAAATTGCTATACCAGCGACTTGATTGACCGAAATACGGGAAGCTGAGACTGAACGGCCTATACACTTGACCTGAACCCTGACCACAACCAACACCTTCGCCGCCACTCGCCAATGACCCTTGACACGACACTGGATGCTTGAGCCTGGATCCGACCTGTGACTTGAACAATAACGACTGGAGACATCGCCGCGCTCTCAACGGACACCCGAGGAACCTTGACAGAAAGCAAGATCTAACATTAGATCCATGCTTCTCACTGTCATACTTGGTCTGTACCTACGACGCCGCAGCCACGCAGTGAAAAATGGCTAACCGATTCCACAGATTCAAAGTTGATTCAAGTCATGATCAGCGCCATTTCTTTTTTCTTGTTTGATTTTGGGTAGTCGTGAACGACACACTGACCTTTTCCTCAGCGATTTCAGCTTCCCTCAGCCTACCATGGCTTCGACAACATCTGGACTCTTTTCTTTTTCTCAAACAGAACCATCAGCGGACCTCTTGACAGGTTCGTCGTGGGCTACGACAGCAGAAGGACCACAGAACTTTCAAGATTTCTCAGACAATGGATCTGCCCATTCCGGAGAAGCCGAGGAGTTCATTTTCACATCTGGCCAGACTACCCCCCGAGGAAGCCGGGTTCACTCCCAAGGACACCAGGACATTCAGACCAACTGGACTGCATCCAGGACTGCTCCCGTTACCCAAGGTGGACAAGCGATGTCCAGGGTTAACTCGAACAGATCCAACGGCTCTGCGCTGTCACAATCATCACACTTGTCCAACATGGACTTCACAGGTAATGCTTCCGCTTTCCAGACTGGAACCCAGACCGGTGCTGCCATGGTGGGAATTGATACTTGCCTCCTGGACACCGATGCCGATGGCATCACGACCCAGATCTACTGGCCTGGATACTCCCTCGACACTGGACTGAACGGCGATGCCACCTTTTCCCTGCCGGATTCCAGCCCCCTCCACGTGGTCCCAGCCCACATGCAGCTTGGCCCTGACAACAGCCTTGCCGAGAACTCTCCCCCTAGCCCCTGGGACTGCTTTTCCAGCTCCATCTCCCGATCTTCCTCTCCCAACACCATTGAGGACATGTGGTTCCCCACTCAGAGCCCCAACTCGTCGCCTCAGATCCAATGCCAGTCGCCTAGGTATGTATCACCCCATCGCACAGTGACTCCCAGATCGGTTTCTCACATCGTCGATTCGTTTAGCCTTGACCGGAACCTTCCCCTGATCTCCGAGGATGCCAATGGAAAGGTGATGCCTCAGCTTGATGACACCCTTGCCCTGCCTGCTCCTTTTGCCGGACCCCGACGACAGAACAGTGATGGTGAGTCCGCCAGGGACCACGATCTTTACAAGAAGGCCGCTCCCCATGATGATGGACTCTACCACTGCCCCTGGGAGGGACAGCCCAGCTGCAACCACAAGGCCGAGAAGCTCAAGTGCAACTATGAGTAAGAAACACCCTGCCAACTTTGTTTGGTGACTGTACTGACCTGTCAGCAAATTCGTCGACTCCCACCTGAAGCCCTACCGCTGCAAGGCCGAGTCGTGCGAGGGCGCCCGCTTCTCGTCAACTGCGTGCCTCCTCCGCCATGAGCGTGAGGCTCACGGACTCCATGGCCATGGTGACAAGCCTTTCCTTTGCGTCTACGAGGGATGTGAGCGTGCCGTGCCCGGAAATGGATTCCCCCGCCAGTGGAACCTCCGAGACCACATGAAGCGTGTCCACAACGACCACGGAAGCTCCAGTGGCTCGCCCACCAACGGATCCGCCCAGCCTTCCAAGGGACGTAAGCGCAAGACTGAAGTGACCGAGACTCAGACCGCCCCCAGCCGCAAGGCGGCCGTCAAGGCCATGCCCGTTCCCCAGGAGCCCAAGGAGTCGTCGACCCAGCCCCTTCTTGACCAGTGGATGGAGCACCGTAAGGCCGTGGAGAACCTCTTCCAGACCCTTGTCAAGCCCGAGGATTCCCAGAACGAACAGCACATCGTCACCATGAAGGATCGCCTCACTTCCATGATCAAGCTCACCAAGCACATCAACTCGGTCAAGGCTGGCACCGGTATTACTGGCACCGGTTGAATGAATTGTAAGTGACTCTTGACATCTATGCCACAAGCCCTGAGCTAACCAGACGGACCCAGATAAGCGAAACTTGTCTGCTACCAGGATTTATCAACATTTGAAACGTGCGAGTGCACATGCAGAGACCGGAATGACCGTCTATCTAGAGACCATTTTCTGAATCTCCAAGACACCCCACGGACCGGGCAACCAGACGCCCAAGGATCTTCGGCAGAGACGCCAGTCCTGCCTGATTGAGCATCCCATCCATAAGGACGCATTGCCAGCCCGTCGGAGTCTTTTTTACCCAAGGCCACATCCATTACCAAGGAGAACGCCGCCGGCTTTTCGGAACCGGCGCTTGGAGGAGGATGTGGTCACTTTGCGAAAGGGAACATTGACGACTTGAGAGTCGAAAGGGGGAAGCCGAGAACAAAGACATATCTGATAGATTGATTCAAACATCTACTTCTTTTACTTTGTTAGTTAGTTGGAGGACAAGTTACAGACACATGCAGACAGACCCCTTTGATCACAGCAAGAGGGTAGCAGATAGAGACATTTTTGTTAGGGAATAGGATTTTGTCATTTGATAGCATTGCTTTACTTCTTGGACAACTTTGAGTGTTATATGGATGAAGAATGATGCGCCTTGACGGGGCTGATTATCATGGCATGATATTCGGTAAGACATAGTGGTTCGACAACTAGGAACAGTGCGTCTTGTCGCCTGAGGATTATCGCTAGATCATCCAGGGGTCAAGATACTCGCCGCAGCCTCATCTCAGAAGCCAAGACCGATACTTGATGGATCGTAGATGATATCTCAAACTTGGTAAAGGGAAAAGCAGCGGTGAAAGCTGCAGGGAGTCGGAAGAAGCAGGGTGATTATACAGGATGCAGCTCATGGAGAGTGACCCCGGGACAGGATCGCGGAGTGTGAGATGCTGCACTGCAGGCCATGTATTGCTCGTCCCGGGGACGTGCTGACCTGGATGCGCCGCACACGGGAGGATACGGTGTGGGTGTGCGTACTCGTCCAAGGAGAGGTTGGATCGCGGGCACGGAGGCTCACCGAGAGAGGACGTGCTGCGTATGGGACGATGTAGGTATGTAAAGGTGGTGTATGCCGTGCTGTGCTGAGCGGTGAGTATCTCCGAAGCTCGCTCGGTCAAAGCTTCGGTGCAGAGGTCCTTTACCTTTCAAGGTGGGATGCCGCTGTGGTTTTAGCCTCCTCCACTATGACGCCAGTCGGATCAGCAACCGTTTGCGTTGGAGATTTCAGGTACCCGGCCGGCGAGCGTATGTCTGATGTTGGGTCTACGCGGCTGGGAAAAAGCTGGCCTGATCAGCCTCGGGTATTATGAGATACGGCCCCGCGGATGATGGCGAGAAACGGGAGGAGAGACCCGGCGGGATGGGTGTTGGGAGCGCTCCGAGCTCTGCCGTGTCGCCGGGCCAGTGTAAGTGCTTGGTGGGCGGTAGATGATGATGGGAGGTTGATGATGGCTGAAGATGTTGGGCATACCGTATTCAACACAAGAACAGTAGAGACATGCTGCAATTCTCATCACATATTGTGCTAGAATCGTACTGTTTCAGTAATCACTGCCCCTCCGTGTTCCTGTCCGTCCGTGTCAATGCCCATCCATGTTCATGACCTGATGAATGGACCTGGCCTGAGCCGCCTCCGCCCGCCCCAACTAACACGGACGCGCGCCGGGCCTAGTACCACCACCACATCCAACTATTTACCAGCTAGCTACCCTTCTCAACAACACCTCTTCTTTTTCTCTCTCATCCACATTCTCTCTATCTTTTGCTTCACCAAAAACACCTTTCCCCCTTTCAACTCAACATAGTCCAATTGCCCATCATGGCTCGCAAGTTCTTCGTCGGCGGCAACTTCAAGATGTCAGTTTTACCCCGCCATCCAATCCGTTGCTGTTCTGCCCCTCCCCCTCCCCCTCCATGAAGCAAAAAGGCCGCAGGTCCTACGAAGCCGTATCCAGAAGCTCACACGTTATTCTTATAGGAACGGCTCCGTGTCGTCCATCAAGGAGATTGTTTCTAACCTCAACAACGCCACCCTCGACGAGAACGCAGGTATGTCTGCCCCTCACCTCCACGTCGTCCCTCAGTTGCCCCTCATTCTGAGCATCATCAACTGACTTGTCCCTGCAGAGGTCGTCGTCTCCCCTCCCGCCCTCTACCTCTCTCTCGTCCGCGAGACCATCCGCCCCGACATCGAGGTCGCCGCCCAGAACGTCTTCGACAAGCCCAACGGTGCCTTCACTGGCGAGATCTCCGTTTCTCAACTCAAGGACAGCAACATCAACTGGGCCATCCTCGGCCACTCTGAGCGCCGAACCATCCTCGGCGAGTCCGACGATGTCGTCTCCTCCAAGACCAAGTACGCCACCGAGAACGGCCTGAAGGTCATCTGGTGCTGCGGTGAGAGCCTCGAGACCCGCGAGGCCGGCAAGACCATCGAGTTCGTCTCTGCCCAGATCGAGTCCCTCAAGTCCCAGATCTCCGACTGGAGCAACATCGTCATCGCCTACGAGCCCATCTGGGCCATTGGCACTGGCAAGGTTGCCACCGTCGAGCAGGCTCAGGAGGTCCACAAGGCCATCCGAGACCTCCTTCGCAGCATCAGCGACAAGGTCGCCGACGAGACCCGCATCCTCTACGGCGGCAGCGTCAACGAGAAGAACTGCGGCGAGCTCTCCAAGCAGCCCGACATTGACGGTTTCCTCGTCGGTGGTGCTTCCCTCAAGCCTGCCTGTAAGTTGTTTCCGTTGCTTCTTGAATGAATCTATACTGATAACCTTAGTTGTGGACATCATCAACGCCACCAAGCAGTAAGGAACCAATATCAAAAGTAAAAGGCCTCCTTCAGACAAGGATATACTGTCTTGAAGGAAGAGCAGATAGATGATGAATGAAATAAAAATACCCATGAACATCGAACTATTGTGAACTCTCGGTGCCAAATGTCCGAGCCATCCGTAAAATTCCATTGTTATATATCTCATTTGACCATAAACCTCTCTCTTTGTCAACTGTAGTCAAGTCAAGTGTCATGTCGGCGAAGCAGGTATCATTGACGCTTCTATCATCCGGAGATCCTTACTCTAAATCGTACAGTTTCCTCACAACCCAATGCGGCAAGCAGGCAACCCCAAGTTGTTCCAGATACATATACACATAATCCAAACATTCGTCTCAGACCACCATTCCCTTTCCGTGGTACGGGGACCAGATACCACGCACACTGGGCTTGGTGCTGGTGACAGCCCTGTTGGTCTTCTTCAGCTTCTCGCCGCTGGCGTCACGGAGGAGCTCGGCTTTTTGCAGGATCTCGTAGGGCGACATGTTTCGCACGCAGATGGGCTTGGTACGGCCGTTGATGTAGTGGCCAATGACCACGGGGTGCTTGCCGGGTCGGGGGGAGATGGAGAATTCGATTTGGGGGTTGGCGGCGGCGAACTTGGGGAGGAGGGACTTGATGAAGCCGCTGTAGCAAGGTTAGACCAAATTCAAATAGAAGAGTGTAAGGAGGGTTGGCTTACTTCATTCCCTTGGAGCTACCGGCCCAGTCGCAGTAGAAGAAGTCCAACCTCTTGCACTGAAGAACGAATGCGCCGAGGCCATTCTGGAAGCGGTCAGTGACAAAGTCTCAGGTGAGGGGCTGCGATCAATTGAAGATTCACCTGGCCTTTTGCTATTTGCCGTAGTGCTCTGATCGTCATCTTTGTCTGGCCGTGTCAATCGCTATCCTCATGATCCAACGACAACCAGAGAGAGTTTGATGTACACACGCGAGGCCATCGCCAGAAAATCAGCACTCGTGCAGGGTACCCCAAAGTGGTTTAGCGTTGTGGCGGTAGAGCTTCGGGTAACATGGTCTCAGCCTCGACTGAAAGGCAGCCTTCGAGTCTTGGGGGGCATAATTTCACGACCGCGCGACGACACAATTAAACTCGGTGCGCCTGGTCTTTCCATCTATTATCGACCGCGGTATCCCTCGCGCGTCTCTTCATTTCGCTCATTACTCTCTATTTTTCTTCTGCTATATCCGACGCGAGATTCCACCATGACGGACAAGCTCCCCCCGAATCTGCTCGCACTCTTCGCCGCGCGACCCCCCCTGCGATGGGTCGAGCCACCCGACCATGCGCCCCAGAATCGCAAGACGGCGCCCATCAGCGGCGTCGCGCAATTCCTTCCCGAGCTGCAGAAGTACAAGGAGACCGACGTCTATAATCCGACCGAGAGTTGGCTTCAGGCACGCGATCGCAAGAAGCAGGAGAAGAAGCAAGACCTGGAGGAGCTGGTGACGCAGGCGCCTAAGCTTTGTAGGAAGCCCCAGCCGTGATGCTGTCGCGCAATCGCTAACCAATGTACAGATAAGCCAAACGAGGATCCGAACGTCCGAGGCGATGCCTTCAAGACTTTGATTGTCGCACGTCTGAGCTACGATGCTGATGAGAGAGACCTGGAGAAGGAATTTGGGCGCTTCGGTCCCATCGAGCGCGTATGCTTCCCCCACGCAACTGTTTCATCATCATTCACTAACCGCGATCCAGATTCGCATCATTGTCGATACACACGCGCACGAGAAGCCGAACAAGAAGAAGAAGCCCCATCGAGGATACGCCTTTGTCGTTTTTGAGAGAGAGAAAGATATGAGAGGTAAACTCACCCCCTTCCCCCTTCTGACTAGACATTTGTCTTCTTCCCTGGATGTACCTTTCAGAACGTGGCCCTCAAGCCTGCCCTTTCTTTAAAGTATACGGCGAGACACAAGGGCCCTCAAGCTTGCCCGTCTCTGCTATTCCTTTTCTTTTGTCAACCCATTCAGCACGCAAGGTACTATTTATGGTAAGATTGACTGACACCTGCGCCATCTGGCGCACCTACGAGTAGCTGCCTTGGATGCTTGCGATGGCATTCGCATCAAGGATAGACGTATCAAGGTAGACGTCGAACGAGGCAGAACCGTTAAAGGATGGCGACCTCGACGACTTGGTGGTGGTCTCGGCGGCCGAGGCTACACTAGGTCGATGCCTTCCCGTCCAATGGGTCCTGGCGGTTTTGGCGGTGGTTTCCGTGGTGGTTACAAGGGCTTCGACGGTGGACGTGGACGGGGCGGCTTCCGAGGAGGGTTTGGCGGCCGAGGTGGCTTCCGGAGCGGTGGTGGCGACTACAGCCGTGGCGATAGAAACGGATACGGCGCACCGAGCGACGCGCCCTCTGGACCTGGCTTCGACCGACGAAATGGTGGTTATAGCGACCGAGGTGATCGCGGCGACCGCGGTGGTGACCGCAGAGGCGATCGAGGCCCTGGTGGGTATGAGTCGCGAGGCGGCGGCCGCTCATATGACGACAGACACGGTGGTGGTGGCGGCGGTTACCGCGACGGCGGCGGCAGCGGCAGATTCGGAGACCGCGATAACCGACGAACCGGAAGCAACATGGAGCCCATCGGTCGAAGAGAAGGTGGAAGAGAGGGTGGAAGAGAAGGTGGGTATCGCGAACGGGACCGCGACTACGACAGGCCCCGCGACGATGACGGTGGCCGGAAACGTGGTTATGACGGTGGTTACGAGGATCCAAGGAAGTTGCGCCGATACTAAAGCAGTGTTTCTTCTCCCCGGCCTGTTGGTGGGTTGTCGATTCTCGTCCTCCCGTCATTAATACACCCCCCTTTTCCACCAAGGGTAAGCGCACCAGATTATATCGACAACCCAAATCACGCCTACGGCAGTTACGGAGTATTCTCTCGCGCAACATTACGGTTCCGCTTGTTTGTGTTAACCGGCTTTACTGCCTCCCTAACCCGCCAAGTCTGACCTCACCCCTGACGGTTTCAACGACGCTCCAAATGCCTTCCTGATGGGTCCGAGACGAGGCAAGGTGGGAGGTAACCTTTCTCTTTGTTATGTATTCTAATTGGTTTCTGGGAGGTGATGAGAAAAAGTAGGAGGAGGGTGACAATGGTGAAAAGGGGCGCAAGACGTTGCGCAACATAGGTAAGGTCAGGGTAAGGACTCCGTGACCTGCTGACCCTTGAAAATGTCGCCTAGGATGGCCGACAAGGCCGACTCTGATGTATCACTTAGGAGTTCTTTGTTCAGTTGAAAGTAACAGTTAAATAGTACTGGCCGAGTGAGTGAGTGAATGTGCCATCGTGTGAATGTTTTTGAGTATGTATTTTTTGTCATTCAAGGGGCGGGTCTACTGTCAAGAAAAACATGATGCCCTCCATATCCCATGGCCCTCAACGCCGAGATCCCATAAAAATAAAAGTTCATGCTGGTATCAGTCATTCGAACACACAAGAATTTGTCAAGCCAAGCGTCTAGCACCGTGTGCGTTTCTTTTTTTCTCTTTCAAGAGCGTCATCATTGGCTCAGTCCTTTTTAATCCTCATCCATGGCGTTGACCTCTGTCACCTCGGAGGTTGCGGCGCTCCAGTATCTGTGGTGTGTTAGCCTATGATGGGAGTTGAAGTGCGTATGGGCAAGACTTACGCTAACACCTTGACCTTGAACTCGCTCAGGCACACGCTGAAGAGCTTGAGCAGCCTCGTCTGTCGCGAGTCCAGGATATCACCCTCCTTGCAGACGACATAGTCCTCGCCCTCTCCAGACTCATCACCGAGAACAACGCGGCCCTTGACCATGCGGGTGGGCACACCGAGGCGGCGCAGCTCGGGCTCGATGGTGTGCTCGAGGGGCACGTCGTGCTCAGCAGGGACCTCACCACCGGTGGCATAGAGAACGCCGGCGGGGAGAGAGAAGCCGCGGGAGGCAGCGACGCCAGCGCGGGCAAAGTCGACGGGAGCGAGGTTGTCAAAGTAGGCGAGGATCTCTTCGGCCGGCCGGTTCGTCAGGAGCAGGCCCACGGTGCCAGCCAGGTGCTTCGTAATGCCCTCAATACCAGGCGCGATGGCCTCCTCGGGGGTCTGGCCAAGAGCCTTGGCCATGAGCTTTGTCTTGCCAAAGAAGAGTCTGCGATGACGGGTCAGCGTCCAGGTTTCCTCGGTCAAGGTTCGTAGAGATTGGCATACCGGCAGTCGGAGAGCTCGCGCCTCACCTCCTTGAGGTAGCTGTTGCGCATGTTGTCGACGCTAAAGACGAAGCAGGTCTGGTACTCGGGGATCTCATTGCGAATGTTCTCAAACAGCTTGTCCTTGTTCTCCCGCGTCTTCTTGGACACCTGGGTGAGGTGGACGACCTTGGCGCGCTTCGACTTGGGCATTTTGGCGGGTTAGAGAAATGTCAATCGATAGTATATTCGGCGCAAGGAGAATTGGTTTGGATTTCCCCCAATGTGTGAAGAGGAAAAAAAGTCGAGGTTGGTTCAAGATCCGCGCCCGTTGGAAGCAACTGATAAGATTGTGGAAATTTTTCGAGTGCCAAAAAAAAAGCCAAAAATTCAGGTGGGCGGTGGAACGAACCCCGCATTGGCGCATTCACCGAAAAGAACTGCAGGGGTCTCACCTTGATCCCGATTCGGTAATTACCTTGACAGGGCCAAGGGGAGGATAGATTTCCATGTTCAATCTCTGGGAACAGAGTACGTGGTAATTCTCTATAAGTTCAGCTATTACGGTGGAAATTCTCTTGTTTTGTGCTTGTTCTTAACTCAACTAGACGTGAGAGATTGCCCAAGTTAAGGCCAAGTCATCACCAATGGGATCAAGGCGAATTACACTCGTTGAGCAGCCAATGGCATAATACTATTACAATTCACATAGCTACTCAAGCTGTGAAGCTCGCCTAACTCCTTTAAGTTCTACTGTTTATGAGAAACGAAGTTCGAGTTCAATTGACGTACAACAACGGACCTACTTATCTTCAGTCGTTCCTTGCCTCTAGCCACCTACCGTAGCAAGTATCGCCAGCTCGGCACATATATGCTCCAGTACCAGATATTCACGGTCTTTCGGGACGACTTTGGGAATCTCTTGTGGCTCTTTTCATCGACTAGGACAGCCATGAAACCTTCTGGCTGTGTCCGCGCTGAGACAATCCCACGAGTGGCTTTGGCTACTCGGGTGTCATTCGCCCCAAACAGGCTCGCTTTTGAGAAATTCGAGCTAAAAGTGTTGGGTGAAACATCCTCATTTAATTGCACGTGCTTTCATCGTGCCCTTTGCTGGCTATGTCTCAGGCTCTCCGTCTGGCTAGACTATACAACTAGGAATATAGTAACGGGCTGTTAATGTGAGCTCAGATATTTGTTATCGTTCTGATCCCCGTATCAGTCCAAGATAGACCTCACCAATTGCGAGTGCGCCCTGAATCAGATTGACCTAGCATTGATGTTCTCCAGCTCTGTGGGGTTGTGGTGTTGCGGGTAAAATAGAGGGTATGAAACATTAACCGTCTGTGGAGGGCTAGAGTGTGTAAGTCTACGGATCACTGTCTTGACATTGAGTTTCTAGTAGGGCTGACTCTGCCACAACTTTAATCGCGAGGGTTATCACGCTGAACCGTAAAGTGTGATTCGTCCCCAGCTTTGCCTCACTTGTGCAATATACTGGTTCCTGTGGCTTCAACTACTATGCTGAAATACGCGGAAGTGGCTTAAGTTCAGCAATGGATTATTCCCCGTGCACTGCAGCAATGACAGGGTTCCGCGCTATTATGCTACATGAGGTCAACGAGAGGATCCTTGAACTAGCGGCATGTGGAACATGGGACGACCCGAGGAGCGCAGGAGATGCATTTGCAGCGACGAGACACAAATTCCCTAGACGCTCAACCGAAAACGGCATCGTAGATTGCATATTTTCAAACTATTCCAAATGCCTCGGCCGTCTGCCAAGAAATAGTTGCTGCTTCGGGAAAACTGGTCGCTTCCGTTCCGAATATCGTGCAAGCTGACGCACGGACCAGGCGCCTCCGACTCCGAGCCCGAGCTACCGCGCTACCTGAAGGAAGGAAGGACCTAGGCTACCGTACCTACCACAAGCACAAGGTCTTTTTTGTTTCTGGGCCACACACAACCTCCACAATCAACCACCCAACACCCAAACCACATCATCTCAACAACCTCATCCCAGAGTTCTTCTCGCCCTCTTCCTCCTTCTCACCATCCTCGCTACTCTGCATCTTCAGCTTCCATCTTCCATCTTCCATCTCCAGGGTTTCTCTCCTTCGACGTCCCGTCCGCCTCGAGTCTCAGTCTCGCGAATCGAATCTTTCCCACCCTTGCCACCCCTCCCCGTTTTCCACCATCGTCGCCGCCGCCTGCGTCTGCGAACCCTCTTGGCCACGGTTTGTCATCACCTGTGCCCTACAATCCTCCGACGCTCTGAAATAAACTCGAATCTCCACCAAGCACCAAGCACCGTCGCCATCTGCAGCCCATTCGCATACCCCGGGCCGCGTTTCTTTGTCCCATCTTTGTCCGCACCTCTCGCGATCAAAACCTTTTCCATCGCGCGTCCGACTTAATTCTCGCTCCCTCCTCACCTCCGTCACTCTCCAACTTCAGAATCACACAGCCATCATGGCCTCCAACGGTAATTTCACCCATCAGAATCTGTACAAGGAACATGCCGACCAACATCAAACAGCTCCCCCTGCTGCCGCCGCTCCTGCTGCTGCCGCTGCCACTACCGATGCCTCTGTCTCCGCCCCCGCTGGTAACAGCAACCTGTCCAAGGACGAGGTTGGATGGTACTTTGTCGAGCAATATTATACCACCCTGAGCAAGTCGCCTGAGAAACTCCACGTATGTGTTTTGAGTCCTGTGCGCGCTTGGATTTTCACTAACTAGCTTGGTAGCTCTTCTACGGCAAGCGCTCGCAATTCGTCTACGGTCTTGAAGCTGAGGTTGCCAACGTCTCCGTCGGTCGACAGGTGAGTTTCAATATCAGATATAGGTACCTGGCCAATTCAATTGCTAATCCTGTCACAATAGGCCATCCAAGAACGCATCAAGGCCCTCGACTTCCAAGACTGCAAGGTTCGAGTATCCAACGTTGACTCCCAGGCTTCTTTCGAAAATATTGTCATCCAGGTTATTGGCGAGACCTCCAACAAGGCCGGTGAGCCCAAGAAGTTCGTCCAGACCTTTGTCCTCGCTCAGCAGCCCTCTGGTTACTTTGTCCTCAACGATATCCTGCGATACATTGACGACGAGACTGATGACGAATCTGCCGCTGCCCCCGAAGAGCCTGTTGAGGAGCCCGAGGTTGCTGAGGAGGAGCCTGCTGCCGCTCCTGTCGAACCTGAAGCCCCCAAGTCTGTTGAGGAAACCAAGGAGGAGACTGTTCAGCTCGACCCCGAGGTCGTGGACCAGAAGCTGGAGGAGGTTTCCACATCTAAGGACAGCGCCGCTCTGAACGGAAGCGCCGCTGAGTCTACGGTCGAGGAGGTCAAGGCCCCCGAGACCAAGCCCGAGATCCCCGCTGCCGACGCTGATGCTGCTGCCGAGGAGATTGCTGAGGAAGATGTCAAGGAGCCAGAGAAGCCCAAGGACCCCAGCCCTACGCCTGTTTCCAAGCCTGTCGCTGCTCCTCCTGCCCCTGTTCAGCCTGCCGGGCCTCCCAAGCCTATGACCTGGGCCAGTCGTGCGGCCGCTGCTCTCCCCAGACCCGTTGTTCCTCTCCCCAAGACTC